AATAAGAGTCCTTTTGAGATTGTTACTGGCCAGCAACCGCTACTCCCTCATACAGTGGATATTGAACGAAGTACCAAGTCCCCTCAAGCAAAGAGTTTTTTCTCAAGAGTGGAAACGAAATATTGAAATTGCTCGGAGTTATCTTTTCTCAAAAACGGTATAAAAAGGCTGCAGATCTAAAGCGTCGTTTTATTGAATTCAATGTTGGAGATCTGGTAATGGTTAAGCTTCCCGACAGAAATGTTTACAAACCAACAAGAGGGAAGGACTCAAGATTGTCACCAAAATACATTGGACCATTACCCATTGTGAAGAGGATTGGAAGAGTTGCATACAGAGTTGAACTCCCTTCATGGTGTAAAATCCACAAGGTCCTTCATGTTAGTGTGTTGAAGCCATACTTTTCGGATAAGGAGGACGCATCTAGAAATGAGCCAAAGCGACCTGTATTTGAACTGAAGAAAGCTGGAAAGAAGGTTGCTGAAGCTATTCTTGACCATCGAATCACTCGGGCTTCTAGAAAAGATCATCAGGAGTACTTGGTCAAATGGATGGGATGCAGCAGCGAGGAGAATACTTGGGAAAGAGAAAAAGATCTCGGGGCCTTCAAATCATTAATTGAAGCGTATCATGCATTGATGGCACCGAGGACGTCGCCAAAACAAATGGGGGAGAATGTCAAGGACTTTAGCTTTACTTAGCCCCTTGATACTATCGCAGCCGCAGTTTGCCCAACTTCGACCGCACATTGTAAATATTACTTCAAGTTTGAGTTGTAATTTTCGTTTCATTGTAATAGTTATTTTAATTGTAAAATAGCTCTGATATTGGTAAAAGATTAGTATGATTCCCCGTCTTTTAAACGTCTACTCCCGTCACTTGGGTTTTTGTTCAGAATGCTATTATAGGGGGTATTAGTCATTCAAAAATCTTTCAAGCTCACTGGTGTCCGCCCCCTGCACCAGCATTTGTAATTTTCTGCTTTCATCAATTGTAATGTTCAGTTTTCATCAATCAATGTTCAATTTACTTTCAATGTATTCAAATTCTCAATTGTAAGCTTTCTACAAAACTGTAATCAAATTTTCTTTAGTCCCGACGCGATCGAGAAAAGGCGAAAGGTAGTCTAGCGGAGCAGACTACTGCCGCACGGTGTCCCTTTCTGTGCCAAGAAGAAAGGCACTCCGTGAAACCTTGACATGTAGTAATAATCAACTTGCCTTTGTATCTAGCTTTCAAAGTTGTATCATCAACTATAATTACCTTGCATCGCATTTCGAAATCCTCGAATACATTGTCCAAGAGTGACGAAGAAAAACTTAAAGTAATTCTCGCCTACCGTCTCAATAAAAAATGCTAAGTCAAGATTAGTTGTCTCCATATTATGACAATTCTTGGCCAATTTAGCACAACTATCCTTGGCCAAGCCCATTAAATTCTCCAGCGCGCATTCTTTGACCTTTCATATCTTCTAATAGCTCATGATCACTCCTACTCTCGGTGAACGTCGTTAATGATATCCGAAAATCTTAGATCATCTGTGAGTCATGATACTTGTGCATTATCTGTCGACTAGTAAACCATGCTCGGTCTTACTTGTGATCAATTCGATGAATTCATACTTTGCAAATATATTTCCTTGTATATTTGCGAACTACAAATAACTCATTCGTGTTTATCTTCATTACTCGCAAACGCCAATGGCAATTGTTATCCATGCTGACAATGATCAACAATGACTAGTTTGATTTTTTTTATTTTGAACTCAAAGTTGTATTTAATGTCATCTGGTGCACAGCTTCCTGTAAATTTTTCTTTGTTTCAAACAGTTGCTCGACATGCAAATCCTCATAATTGGAAACCACACGTGAAGAATTAGAGGACGGCCCATTAGATCCAACCCCAGAGCTCCCATCTCACTCATATCTCTGACAGGATAAAGCAATCAAATCCTTATTTATAAATTTATTTTCATTCTCGTTGTCATGAACTATCGAGGGAATTCTTAAATGTACTCAATGTTATGGAAATTGAAATATCATCACGTATATCACTTGTCCATTTTCATACCCATTGATCTTTTTTATCCAATTCGAAATCACTAAAATAACAAATTGGGATTACAATCATATTTGAATGATGAAATAGAATTTTTAATTATGAAAAAATAGTCTAAAAATTGGCCCAACCACTGGGCAACAGAATTTTATTCAAAAAAAGTTGGATTGGCTACCTTGGGGTTGCTGTTAACAACCGGTTGACGAAAGCTATTAACAGTCGGCTGTTAAGGCTAGCCGGAATCATTGCCGTGAATCTCGTCTGAAAGAATATATGTGCAAAAGGATTTTTTTTCTTATTTATATTTAAAATTTTTATAGATATGTTAAAAAATTTATCTACATATTAATCTATGTCAAATAAGATTTATCAATTAAAAACATATTCTAATTTAATGAAAACGAAATGAAACATACATAAATATACTTACTGATTCGCAGTGATGGGTACAAAAAATATTTTCTTGTTCAACGTTTGATAAATTTATAAGATTTTGAAGTTGAAGCACATGAAAAGTTAGTTGGTTTTGAAATTTTAAATGGAAAGTGTTTGATTTTTTACTTATTCAGTAGACTAATTCGAATAAATTAGGAAACTTGAAATCAAATTTGAATAAAATTAAAATAATGCAAGAAAATGCCTTAAACTAACTAAAAATAGAAATTCGCTAAAACGGACCTCTAAATGATTGAATTTGATCCCAAAAGTTGGACAAAACCGTTATCCAGCAAAAATGTGCAGAATCTGAAAAAGCTTTCGGATTGTACTTGCTTGCGAAAATCTAACACTCAATCTTAAAGTTATACGCATTTTGATAGATTCTTCTTATTTCCAATTTTTTTTTTTTTTTTTTTAAATTTTCTCTTCAAGAGATCGTCATCAACATGCTTACATGATTACTATGGAAGGTTGATGACAAATGTTAGGATATATATAATGTGATAATAAATTAAAGTTAGGAATCTTAACTACAATTAAAATTAAAATGTCGTACATTGATAAAAAAAAATTAAAAAATATCGTGATGTCAATATGAGTATATAACTGCCCTTTATATTATTGAATTTTTATTTCTAGTGTATGTAAAAAAATTTTCAGAGTATATTAAGAGCACCTAATTAATCAAGTTGAAAATAATGAAATAATACCCATCTTTTGCACACTTCAATTTTAGATATTTCCCAACTTCCACTTTCAAAAAACAAAATCCAAATATTTCTCTTTAATATTAGTATTATCATTTTGCAAAACATTCAGTCAATTTCTGTCTAGGGGAGATTGTTGACAAAACTTACAAGAGAGATCATTAGAGAGAAAATGATTTTGCATGAAGTAGAAAATTACCCTATAGGTCCCAAACTTATTTTAAATGTGCACTTGTCACTCAAAGTGCACTTGTCACTTATATTTCTATTTGATTTTGTGGTACGGAGGATAGCAAGTGATACAGCCACAAATAATCGAAATGAGTCTCTAAAGATGGTTTCTTCAGAAAGTAGTTTGAAAATATCACATATTTTTATTCGGCCATGAATATTCGATGTCCCTTTATGCGCAGTCCTTATCCAGTTATATGCCCCCCCATGTCCTTTTATCAAGTTTAGAAGATGTATAAAGATGTTGGGGACCTTAAAGAATGATATGCATAATCACACCCTTCTTATTGTCGATATGGTAAAAAAATTATTTTTCTTTCAAATTGTTAGTTTCGTTGTGTGTTCCGGTAATTTCTTTGGTGAAATTGTTATTTTTTCAAAATTTTTATCTTACGGCAAAATTATATGTTTAATCAAATCGATGCTTATAATTACGACAGAATCCAAAGCGCCTTCTTTGATACGAAAAATAATAATTTATGCCGTACAGAGTAAGAAATAAACTATTATTATTATTATTATTATTATTATTATTATTATTATTATTATTATTATTATTATTATTATTAACAATACATATGATACTATTGGTTGGAAGTCATGTTAGTGTCGTTTTTGGAAATTTCGTAGAAGATTTCAGATTCGATCTTCTTCGTTAACACCGAACATGTGTCAAAATTCAAAATTGACATCTCGAGCAAGAAGATGATCTTCCCTTGTTCAACATGAACATGGATGTTACAAAATACTCGTGACAACAAAATGGCCCTCTTTCCATTTGCACCGTAAATTTATCTATCAATACCGCAAAATCTTCTACCAAGTGTAGTAAAGAAATGAAATGGTTCTTTAGACTGGGTTAGATATGCAAACTATTGAAATGAGTAAAGCTCCATGATTTGCTACTGGTCTGTCTGTGCTTGTTTATCTTTATGGTCGTGGTTGTCTTTGTTTTTCGTTCTCAAGTATTTTTGCTACTAGAATGAAGGGCGGGTGATTTTTCAAAGATTTTGGGATTTTGCCCGTATGAATATGGCCTGGTGCTCTTTCTCGATCTTTCATTTCCAGATGTTGTGAAATAATGAGGGAAAAGGTTGAGAGAATGAGGATTAAGACCGGTGATAAGTACACCACACTATTGTATTCTTAGTTTTCAATTTTTTGTTTTAATTGAATTAAGAGTACAATTGTAATTTTATTGTAGTGTATTTATTAAAAATATATTTTAATTGTGATGTGATTATAATATGATGTAGTAATTAAAAATATATTTTAATTATAATGTGATTATGAAGTCGACTATGTCTCTTCTTTGATCCTTTCCCCGTCTCATTTAAGTACCCCCACCCCTTGTCCCCACACGCCGGGCACCCTCGACCATATACCCACAGATGCCTCAACTAGTGCCACATAACCTCATCTGCTTTCATATATTTTGCGCCCTTCAATCTTGTTACCTCTTCATCAATGACTACGAAACTATTCCCAACTGTCCATTCAGCTTCATCTTCTCCAGTTTTACACAGAAAACAGTGTAATTTTATGTCTGTCCGATGTTGCGAAGACAGTGCTCCTAGAATAAACCATAAATTGCCTCACGATGACAATGATTTGGCCAGTTTTCCTGAAAAAATTCGTTATCCACCGAAGCAGAAGCCGCCTAGGCCACGTCGAATAATTCTCGTACGACATGGGCAAAGCGAAGGAAATGTTGACGAGTGTGTTTATACGAGGGTGGCTGACCCTAAAATTCGACTCACCCAGCTGGGAATATTGGAGGCCGAAGAATGTGGGAGAAAAATAAGGGAGATGATTGAAAAAGATGGAGCAGAGGATTGGAAGGTATATTTCTATGTGTCTCCATATAAGAGGTCCCTAGAAACCTTGAGAAATTTGGCTAAGGCATTTGAAAAATCAAGAATTGCAGGAGTCAGAGAAGAGCCTCGATTGAGAGAGCAAGATTTTGGTATATATAATTTTATTTATAATGAATAGATAGTGATTTGAAAACAATATTTGATTTTTCTACATTTCATTCTTTGAGCTTGAAGGAAATTTTCAGGACCAAGAACAAATGAAGATACAAAAAGCTGCTCGGAAGCGTTATGGTCGATTCTTTTATCGGTTTCCGAATGGAGAATCGGCTGCAGATGTCTATGACAGAATAACAGGTAATCTGTCATTTCGCTATCTAGTGGTGTCACAATGGACTGGTTCGAGTGTAGATTGGTTTGTCTGAGTCTAGACGAGATGGCCCTATCGAATGTATTTTGTTCGATTTTCTTTTAGAACAATGCTATAAGTCTCTGTTTAAAAAAAAAAAAAAAAAAAAAAAAAAAAAATCTGTACTTGCGTAGTTTTCCTTTCTTTTAATATATGTTTATGCCTGTGGGCATTGTGCCAAGCTTGGGATGATATGCTTTGAAGATGAGCTAGCCCATGACACGACCCCGTGTAGGGACTCCACACAGCCTAGGCAACTTTGACACCACTAGTGTGATTATGAAAATTTACATATAATTGAATAGAGTCTATTGTCGTCAATTTAAAGCTTATAGGCAAGCTCTTGCAGGGTTTCGGGAGACCCTTAGAAGTGATATTGACATTGGAAGATTTCAACCACCCGGACAACAAAGCCCAAATATGAACATAGTGATAGTCTCACATGGCCTTACTTTGAGAGTGTTCTTAATGAGATGGTATAAGTGGACTGTGGAGCAATTTGAAGGGCTTCATAATATGGGAAATGGAGAAATTATTGTTATGGAAAAAGGTTATGGAGGAAGGTAATTTTTAACTTCTTGCATACCATTTTCTTCTATAATTGATTATTCTTGCATTTGTCTCCGTCTTGGACTCTGGGGCACGAACAAATTACTATAGTGTGTTCCTACCAACATATTAGTTTACACCTTCTACGAAAAGATCTTAATGTCGTAATTTGTCATTTGTCATCTTAATTTAAGTCTACTTCTTGAAACAACATGTCTTGAAATTTAATCTTGTACTGTATAATATTCACTTAACATCCTCTTAATCGTTGGAGTCGAAAAATAATAATGTATTAATCAAAATTGATAGCTAAAACTTGTATTCTTATGTCAAAAACACATAAGAAATAATAAAAAAGGTAAGATCAACATGGAAAAAATGAAAAATCAAGAAGTCGTCTTGTTCAAACTTGAATTATGACCTCCGTTTTCATCGTCTACAGGTACAGCCTGTTAATGCACCAGACAGTAGAGGAACTAAAGAAGTATGGATTGACAGATGCAATGCTGATTGACCAAGAATGGTAAAAGAAAAATTAGATTTATCCTTCAAAATGTATACATATAGATTAATTCTTCCAAGGCTAATACCTTTCCCTTTTTTTTTTTTTCTTTTTTTCTTTTCTTTTCTTTTTTTTTTTCAAGGCAAAAATTTGCAAAGCCAGGTGAACTCAATTATGATAGTGAGATAACTGGACCATCTTACTTTACACACTTTGGTGAAGAACATGAAATGATGTAGTACATTTGGTAAGGTCTGCTGTAGTGAAAGAAAAAAAAAAAGGAAAAAAGAAAAAAGAAAAAGGAAAATACTGAAATCATGTTTATTGTAGTATCACGTCATGCCAATTTCTGCATACCGAATATGCTGTATGAGCTTTTAACGGATGCTAATGGTGGAAGCGGCATCATAAAAGCATAGCATGAGCCGATTCTATTACAAACTTTAAATGATACAAATATCACATATGTCAATATCTCATGTTAATTCATTAATAAAAATAGAATGGAAGCGTACCTGAATTCATGTTGACAAATTGAGGGAAGTATGGAGTCTTCCATAGTCAAATCTCCTTAGGACTCTCAAGATGCTCTATGAATTCTCTCTCATTAATGGGAAAGGAAGAGGAGAGCCAATATTACATATAATTTAACTTGTGCCACAACCTTTATGATGATCTCTATATACCAACTCAAATTAGAGCTTCAGCAACCCCAATTCAATTAGTATTGGGTTTCAACACATTAAGGCCCCTACCCAATAAATATCCTTAGAGCTCAATTATGATATCACTTATTTAGCCCTATTAAATTAGATAGCTCATAATATACTTGTTACTTAATATGTAACCCAATAATAAGAAATTAAATAAATATTTCAACAATCTTTCACTTGGACTACATATGTTTCATGAAACAATTATATTACACAGTCTTGAGTGGGCAATGAAAAACTATCTTTTTTGAAATATCTACTTATTCACAATTTGGTCGATCTACTATATTAGCATGGGATCAAGGCGACTTTCATTACATATATTTGTAACTAGATCCATCAATGGTTACCATACCAATATATTCAATGACATAGATTGAGTATGGATGCGTAACATGAAAATTACATGCAATGTGATTTTAAGCATAACTATTTCCAATTGATCCAGCTTTATTTTTTAGTGAGATCAAACATGAATAACATTTAGAGTTTATAAATGTAAACTATAAAATATACTGTATTCTATAGAAAATAAATATAAAATATGTTTGCAGTAAAGAACATCAAAATACATACTCCCGCTAAATATGCATATTATCAAATGAAACGACATCCATATGAACAATGTGTTCATGAAAGATCTTGGGTGGTGAATCCATACTAAACGGCTCTGCAATTATAGAGTTTGTCCCGATATATTCTATGGCCACTTGAAGACTCTGAGCTCTTTCTTTAATAATGAGAAACTTGATATCTATGTGCTTTGATCTCATAGAGCTTCTATTGTTATTAGAATAAAGCATAGTTGATTTATTGCCACAATATATCTTTAATTGTCTTTCAATATCATTCACAATTCGCAGCCCAATTTCAAAATTTTTTAGCTATATCCCATGATTAGTACCTCAGAACAAGCTTACTCAGCTGCGATAGTGGAATAAGTTATAAATATCTGCTTAGCACTCTTTCAAGAAATAGCTCCTTTAGCTAATAGGTAAATATAGTCTAGCATGGATCTTTTATTGTCTTGACATCCACTGAAATCAAATCAGAGTACCTAACGATCTCTAAATAATCTGATCACCGATAAGTGAGCATGTGATATTTTGTTCTTTACAAATAACGCATAATTTGTTTGGTTGTTTTCCAAAGATCTATGCCAGGGGTTACTCAAATATCTGCCTAACAATCCCACTATGAACGCAATGTCCGAACATGTGTATACTTGAGCATAAATAAGACTTCCTACAGCTAATGCATAAAGAATTTGTTTGCGTCTAATACAATTTCATTTTATTTTTAGGGCATTGATCAAGACTGAATTTGTCTCCCTTAGCATCAAGGGTATCTTTTGGTGCACAACCTTTCATGCCGAATCTATTAAAAACATTTTCAATATAAATCTTTTGTGATAATCTAAAAATACCTCGAGAGTGATTTTGATGTATATGTATGCTCAATACATTAGAAGCGTCCACAAGATCTTTCATTTTAAAAATTCTTGGTAAAAAAATCTCTTAGATTCGCACAGTAAGCCTATTTCACTGCTAGCAAGTAGTATGTTATCGACATATAATACCAAGAATACGTACTTACTCCCACTGAAGTTATGATATACACTATAATCAATCTTATATACTTCAAACCATGCAAGATAATAAGATGATTACATTTGTGATACAATTGAAGAGAAACCTATTTGGGACCATAGATGGATTTCTTTAGTTTGCAGACCATTTTCTTTGGGTCACAAGATACAAAGTTTTCTGGCTACATCATATATATCGTTTTCTCAACATCACCATTATAAATGCAATCTTTACATCTCTTTTATGTAACTCCAAATCACTATGAGTCACAAGTGCCATTATGATCCTGAAAGAGTCTTATAATGAAATTGGAGAAAAGTCTCTTTGTAGTCAGTACCTTCCTTTTGAGTGAAACCTTTGGCAACTAGACAAGCCTTATATCTTTCAAAATTACCTTTTGAATTTATTTTGGTTTTAAATATCCATTTGCAACCAATGAGTTTTGCACATATGGGCAATTCGAAGAGATCCAAATGATATTATCTTTTATGGATTTTGTCTCATTCATTTGTGACATCAATCCATTTTTAAGAATTAGAACTTTGTTTGGCTAGATGGAGGTTGATTGGATCATCTTCCGCCACTCCTATATTAATCTCATGTTCTTGGAGAAAAACGACATAGTCATCTGGAATTGCACTTTACCTTTCTCTAGTGGATCTTCTCAATAGTTAATCCTCTTGAGATTGTTGAGTTTGCTCTTCGGTTATAATTTCTTTATTTTTTACACAGAGAGCTCTTCTACATTCGCTTGATATTGCAAATTTGCATTTTGAACAGTGTCAGTAATAAGAGCCTAATCCTTAACAATAGCAATAATAGGAAGAGAAATGAGTTCTTCTTCAAAGACAGTATCTCTAACCTTATCTTCCTCCACAAACTCAACTTTCTTAAGAAATTTCCCATCTCAAAAAATGTCCTAGTCGTGGAATTGTAAAACTTGAAACCCCTTAATCATTTATGGTACCCAACAATGTAGTAGCTTATAGTTTTTGAGTCCAGATTCATTTCATTTTGCGTATAAGGCCTTGATTCAACCAAACAACCCGTCTTTAGAGTTTTTTCCTAGAGTGATTTTGGTAAAGAAGAATAATTAATTATACTTCTTACCATGTCCTCAAGCATTCTATTGCGTCTCTTAGCAACACATTCATGTTGGGTTTTGCTAGCATTGTGTATTGTGGGAAGATATAACATTCCTCAAAAAATTTCGCAAAAGGTTCTTGACGTTTTTCACCTTATCCTCATATCTACCATAGCATTTACCACCACGGTCAAATTTTATGGCATTTGTTTTCACATAGAATTGATTTTCAACTTTAGTTTTGAAAGCTTTGAATACATCCAGGGATTGATACTTCTTATGAATTAAATATAGGTACATATAACGAGAATAGTCGTCTATAAATGTAATGAAATAGTGTTGCTCATTCTTAGAGGTCGTGAGAAATGAACCATAAATATCAGTATAAATTAGTTCTAAGACGCCGTAACTTTTATTGGCTCCTAATTTTCCCCCCTTTATACATTTAACATAGACTTTGACATCTATTAAATCAAGGGGTTCAAGAATTCTACTAGACACAATTGATTCAATTCTCTATTTAGTGATATGTCCTAAACACTTGTGCCACAATATGGCAAAATTCTCATTTGTTAATTTGCATTTTGTACCTCGTGAACATATTTGCAAGTTTTCATTATATGAGATAATTGTACCTAACATATATATGTTACCAATTAAAGAACCAATAGAAATAATATTTTAATCTTGGAAAGACTAAATTTATTATTTTCAAATGAACAAAAATAACCAAATTTGTTAAAAGCAGAAATAGATCTTAAATTCAATCCAAATGATGGTACTACATAAGTCTCTTCCAAATCCATAAAATAACTAGACTTTAATGACAACCTAAAGGTCCCTATAGACTACTGCAACTATTTTGTTGTCACCCACAAAAATGAGTATTTCTGCACAATTGGTTTTCTACTTCGCAAGCAATCCTACATAGACACTTACATGAGTAGTAGTACCAAAATCAACATGCCAAGTATATATAAGTATAGAAGCTAAACTAACTTAAAAACAAATTAGAGTGAGAAGCATACATTTTTTTCCAGGCCAAGCAATGTATATGGAACACTCCTTCATGTGTACACCATTCTTGCAAAATTAACAAGTAAATTCCTTATCCCGTTTCTTTTACTTCTTATGCTATGATGTTTCAGCTACAACTTCATTTCTTTTATTTTTTTTTTTCTTGTCCCTAAAGAAGATTGCTAAGTTAGCACTTTCAACTCTTTCTCGCTTCAGCTTTTCCTCTTCTCGTACACAATAAGATATGAGATCATTTAGAGTTCATTTGTCATTTTTGAGTATTTTAACTCACTTTAAATTGATTATATTGTTCAAGAAGAGAAATTAAAACTAGGTGCACCAGAAAGTCATGAGACAACTATAACCTTAGTGCCTTTAGTTTGGAAACAATACGAGACCTCCATAATTTATTCTTTTATGTTCCCATTTCCTTTATACTTTAATGAAACAAAGTTAGCCAAAAGGATACTTGTTTCAACCTTTTTGTTTTTTGCAAAACGTGATTCTATTTTCGCTCGGAATTTCTTAGCATATTTCTTTTTAGATAGAGCCCCTAAAGGCTTCTAGAATGGAACGTTTTATGATGATAAGACTCATGCATTAGAACGGTCCCGCATTTCCATGTATACTTTATTACCAACGGAACTTTCCTGATTGAGAGGTGCAACCATTTTTCCCGAATTGCAAGGTCAATATCCAGGCAACTAAGGACAATCAAAATGTTCTCTTTCCAATTCTTCAAGTTTGTGCCATTAAGCACAGGAATGAAGTTGATATTGCCAGACATTGTTGAAGCAGAATTAGTAAACTGAATCAAGAACAAGACAAAATAAAAAGCTCACAA